CCTCCCCACGTCCATCAGTGAGCCTTGGCCACCCATGACCCTGTCACTGGTTTTCCTGCCTTGGACTACTTTAGGTCGGTCCTGACCACTGCAGATCGGGAACATCCCACGTGAGCTGCAGGTTTGGAGTTGCACTGACCCAATCATCTAGGCATGGGCACCCTGACCAGTCTGTGGCTATGCACTGTGTGTTCAGGCCTGGTATCTGTGTAATGTCTGAAAAACAACACGCTACGAGCTGGAATTTGCCTGTAAGGCAAAACAAGGATGGTACAGAGAAGGGAGCGTGATTCAGATCTGCTCCCTCCTCCTCCGTTATGCCATCACACACTTCAAGTTCACGTGAACTAAAAACAACGTATGGGTTCCCTCACCCCCATCCTATCCATTATAACCACCCCCCACATATATACACACACACCCCGCTGCCAACTGACCGGCTTGTCACTGTATCCAGCAGCCTTTACATGAGTGTGAGAGCCGAGATAACAGAGGAATATGGCACTTTATATCAATGCACAGCTTAACCGCCCCAGGAAATGTCTAAGAGGGGCACATAGAGGGCACAGAGGGATGATGGCAGAGACAGGAAGTGTGGGGAACATAGGGCACAGTGGGAGGGTGGCAGAGGCAGGAAGTGGGGGACATAGGGCACAGTGGGAGGGTGGCAGAGGCAGCAAGTGAGGTATACACAGGGCACAGTGGGCTGATGGCAGAGGCAAGGCTTGGGGCACACACCGAGCACATTGGGCCAATGGCAGAGTCAGGAAGTGGAGCAGAGGGCACAATGGGCTGATGGCAGAGACAAGAAGTGGGGTGCACAGCGTGCTGATGGCAGAGACAGGAAGTGGGGTGCACACCAGGCACAGTGGGCTGAGGCAGAGACAGGAAGTGGGGTTCACACCAGGCACAGTGGCCTGATGGCAGACACAGGAAGTGGGGTGAACACCAGGCACAGTGTAGTGGGAGGGTGGCAGAGGCAGCAAGTGAGGTATACACAGGGCACAGTGGGCTGATGGCAGAGGCAAGGCTTGGGGCACACACCGAGCACATTGGGCCAATGGCAGAGTCAGGAAGTGGAGCAGAGGGCACAATGGGCTGATGGCAGAGACAAGAAGTGGGGTGCACAGCGTGCTGATGGCAGAGACAGGAAGTGGGGTGCACACCAGGCACAGTGGGCTGAGGCAGAGACAGGAAGTGGGGTTCACACCAGGCACAGTGGCCTGATGGCAGACACAGGAAGTGGGGTTAACACCAGGCACAGTGGCCTGATGGCAGACACAGGAAGTGGGGTGAACACCAGGCACAGTGGCCTGATGGCAGACACAGGAAGTGGGGTGAACACCAGGCACAGTGGGCTGATGGCAGAGACAGGACGTGGGGTGCACACAGGGCACAGTGGGCTGATGGCAGAGACAGGACTTGGGGTGCACACAGGGCACAGTGGGCTGATGGCAGACACAGGAAGTGGGGTGCACACATAGCGCACAGTGGGCTGATGGCAGAGACAGGAAGTGGGGTGCACACAGGGCACAGTGGGCTGATGGCAGAGACAGGAAGTGGGGTGCACACAGGGCACAGTGGGCTGATGGCAGAGACGGGACGTGGGGTGCACACAGGGCACAGTGGGCTGATGGCAGAGACAGGACGTGGGGTGCACACA